ACGCAACCCGAGCATCCGGAAGAAAAGGTGTCCCGTTACACCGGGCGTCCCGGCACGCGAGGATTGACATTATGTAGTAAGATAAGTTTGAAGAGATAGTTGAAACGCCTATCGGATCGCAGTTGCCCAAGGGATCGTGACTCAGTTGGCATAATGTGTAAGATGGGAATAAGTGTCAGGAGCTGGCAAGGAAGTACAACTTGAGTGATCACAACGAGCTTATCAGTGAAATCCATCCATCCTTTATATCCATTCCTTCTAATCCTACCATTTTGACTATCTAACCCAGTATTGGCTAGCATATATGATGAAAATTTTTGTCATTCATCGCCTCCTCTGACAATCCCCAACTAGTGCTGCCTAAGCCGGACAGTAGGTTACGTAATCCTTCGCGCCCCGCGATGGTCATTGCCTTCTGACGTGGGTGTGGTTTACCCGTAACCCCATGATTTTCTATCAAAAAGGGGATTCTTCGTATCACGTACTTGTAAAATCTTTCTCGTACAAAGATCATGCGCTAAGACGATCTTTGTGCATCAAGGCGCGCAGGATCAATCTACCCTCTGCGCGGTCCTCCTCTTAATAGACCTTGAGCCCATGTTGGAGAAAGAAATGGTGCTCACGACGCCAGATAACTTTGAAAAACCTTTTTTTCAGCGTCCGTGTACGACGGATTAGTGCTGAGACTGCACTCAGCCCGGTGGTCCAGCCATCTTTGCTGTTCACTGGAGTCCCATTCACAGCTGAGCATGTAACATGCGTATTTTCGAAGTGGAGAAGGACCCAGCTTTGGACCTCCGGGCTGGTTCCGGACCTTGACATTGAAGAGCCGTCCCTTAGGGTCGAAGTACGCCATATTCTTGCCCTGGGTATCTTTTATTGTTCCTTTTTTTATTGGATCGATTTTAGTGACTACGCTGTAGCCATCAGAGGTTATTATAGAATATCCAATGACGTTACAGACGAAACCAGGCACATGTAACACCTGTTTAAGATAGAGAGAACCGTAAGAGGTTTTACCAGACCGGTTCGGCGAGCGTTTGGTAGGAATTTCCACTGTGCCAACTCCTAACACCGGCAGATGGCCATGGGAGGTGAAGATAGAATGTCTGATCGTAGAAGTGAAAGGTGTATAGGTCTTGAACCAGCCCCGATCTTTTGCGACGCTGGTTGACGTTAGTATCGAGCTTGTCTTAATGGTCTGTGACCTGCTCACTGAACATTAGAATTATTCAGCCAGACCCAGTCTGGACAAATCGGCATGTCGTTTTTCGCATCCATCTTTCTGTGCATAGATCCTACCGAGAGTTGTGTCGATGAAAGCTGTGTCGATCAGAGCTTTGTGGGCGAACGTCGGGATTGGATGTACCATAGTACTAAGCATGATGATAAAATCCATCCATATTTTATATCTGTTACCTCTAGTCGTGCCATCCTACCCATCCCTTACATCCTTGGGATGTCAATAATGTTTGTGATAGCTGCCGTTGCTAGGCGCCCGGCTATCCTTCAGATAGTTCGTCTTGGCGGGATGGCGATTACGTGGCCCCTGCCCCGCGGAGATGATCTCTATCTGACGTGAACCCAAGTAGATCCCCAACCACTCGTTGTCAGCAACAAGGGAGGCAATCCTTCTGCTTGTTATTTGTGATAACTCAGCAGCCGGTGTGATAGGGTGGAACTGCAATCGCTAGTGAATGTACTGTGATTATGGCAATGTCGCATAGGCTACTATCGTACAGATCAGCGTTGACCCTCGCATGCTATCTTTGCTTGGTCTAGGTCAATACAACATACAACTAGTAGTTTAGAAAAGAATTAATGTGGCTTGCAATGCGACCCCTGCATTGCCTGCTTCTTTAGTAGCTTGTGGAGGGAAATGAGAGCCTCGTACCAAAGGATGAAGCTCAAGCTCCTATTCTTTATCGAACCATTGATATTCTAAACCAACGTAATGAGATGCATGATATAGAAAAGTAGTAGTAACTTCTGATGCCAATGTCAGGAACATGAACAGTGAAAACGCAAAGTCTATAGTGCTTGTAGTGTAAACGACTAGTCATATATTGTATGTTTAAGCTATATCCTTTCTGGCTAGAAAGTAATATCTTTATAAGCTATAGGTGAGCTATAGGTGAGCTATAGGTGAGCTGTGGGTGAGCTGTGGGTGAGCTGTGGGTGAGCTGTGGGCGAGCTGTGGGTGAGCTGTGGGTGAGCTATTAGCTTGGAGCTAGGCAATCGGAAGTCTTAGGTAATTAAGCTACGTGGGGATCACTTGGGATGACATGTAGTAAACCAACCAGAATAGGACACGGCGTAAAACAACCGCGCAAGCTACTAGTGATAGATAGCAAACCACTGGGGACTGTGGCAATAGATAAGAAGTAGATGATGTATTTGTAATCTTTAACACTTTACATCGTTAGGCTACTGTGTAGGAGTCTGTGCCCACCAAGGCCATTTGACAGTTATTATCGATACGATCTCATCCTACTGACTCGTCGAGTTCCGTATGTAAATACACTATCTGAACGCAATAGTGCTCTCACTCTAATTACCTCACGTAAAATCGATTTTCATATAAGGAGCCTAAAATCACAGACTCCACAGACGCGTCTTACCCGCACGTTGGGTCAGAGAAAGATAGTTATCTAGCGAGCCTAGGAATGTTTTGTCGCACCTTTGTTCGCCGGAAACTCGACAACGAAGAACAGCCGCATGACTTGATCGCATTAGAATCGCCTAAAGAAAATATTGCGATAGGGAATCACCCAGTATGTATCAAGACATAATGTCCGCACTGTATGATGAAAGCGGAACATAGGAACGAAAAAGGCTAGATTTTGCGACCACAAACAACGCTAGACTTCTGTCAGACTGGTTCAATATCCACGTATGGGGGGGAGAAGGGTATGACAACGCGATGTGGATTTGGCGATGTGCTTGAGAATCATAGATATTCATACCATCAAGGTACAGTGACCAAGCCTCCCTTACCTTTTTCTAAGCAAGGACATCTAGCTTATCGCTTTGAGATACGAATAGGAATAGTAGCACATCTGGACGAGTCGCTAGCGAATATAAAGAGACGAGCCTGCAACACGGCGCCTCACAAAAGGGGTAGATCTGATACCAGAAACTATGGGACGAGCATGGCGCCTTTCTATGAGGACAAAGATAGATTGGCTTTGCTAAAGATAGATAAAAACAACGGCAACGCTCAATGCGGCGTAATACCACGAATCAAGAGACATTCCGAACTATCCAAATTATGTTTGAAGGTAGAAACAGAAGAACACAAGGATCTTAGAGACGCTTCCAAGGTGAGTTTTAAGTCCTCTCCTAGGAACAGTGCCGATCGTCTAGCGCATATTAAATAGCGAAGATAATAGGTTTCAATTAGGTGTAACAAGCTCAAGCGTTACATCTAATTCAAGACTTTTTGAGCAGCGAAACCTCTTCAATAACGCTGACTTGATTAAAAGAACAGTGACAGCATCATGTCCAATGACTTAGTAGGCGGGGAATGTCACCAGACAACCAATACCCTGCTTCCGTTTGAAAAAGAGTCTGCCCTTATCGGATATCTAATTACTAAGTATGCTTCACTCACTGATAGTGCCTTTAATTCAAGTCTCATCGACACAAGGTACGAGCGACCACGAGCTGCCCCTGCCCCTCCCAAAAGAGATTTAATAGACTCTGTGGAGCAACGAGGTAGTATCTCAGTAGAAGCATCGACCAAGTCTGAGCCAGTGTCGAAGAACTTTCGAAGGTTGCGTCTGGATATTCAGCATTCTAATCGACTCATACGTAAGTCACGATCGGATCAGCACAGTCCCGACTGGGCCTGCCGAACATCTCTGGCCATTGAAGCTGGATCGATTTTGACAGATAGTGCACATACGTATAGTGGGTTTTCAACACCCAAACATATTCTGGACGCGATACGGAGCCCAGCCAAGATCTTTTTACCAGGACGCAAGAGAGTGCAAAGCCTCGGACCAGGAGAGAAGCAGACAACATACTCACCATCCTTCAGCAGACACAGTTGGACCCATCCCACAACCAATAGGTACTCAGAAGGTACCTTGCAGCGTGTGCCAATCAACTTGAACAAGAGCCTGCCTACCCTACCTTTGCAAGCACGCGGACAGAATGATGAATAGCAGGCTAGGCCTCAACCAAGTGACCTTGGCAGGCTACTACCAGTCGAAAATGAGCGCAGACTACCATTTTCCGCTTCGGTATCGAGCTATAATCGCTGTATATTTGGCGCAAGTCTAAATATAGATACTGATTGTAAAGTGACATAATGCATTAAATTTAGAGGCAAACTTCCATAGAATATGCGGCCTTTTTAGTGCTTCGTAAGTGCCCACACCATTCGAACCAAGCCTAGTAATCATGCGGCAAATAGGGCTTCAAGGCCCAGATAGAGCAGGCTCAGTGTCATGCTTCTTCCAATCATGCATTCTAGGCTGTTTGAGCACTATACTGCCCTCATCTTCTCATCTCACGTGAGTCCCTCGTGAGATTTAAAAGATCTCCCACTACGCTAGATGCTTAATACATGTACATACAACACCGTGAAAAAGATAGCTATCATTGTTTAGCATATCTGCCCGCAACTAACTATTTATAAGAAAAACTATCTTCCAAATGCTTGCAACGTTGAAGAAGTCGCTGTATTCAGCTATAATCATCGCCGTCTTCGCAGCCCTCACTGCAATTATTCTCCAAATCATTTGCACAGCAGCGTACGCAGACTCTGGAATTCTGACCCTCAAGGTTTGTTATGATTGCTTTGCAGCATTGACTCTAGCCTATTGAGAAAGTTAACTAAGATTTCGCTGATAGTTTAATTTTACCGACGCGCTCGCCGATGTGCTTCCATCTCCAACGCATGCACTTCACGACCGCGACCTGCTTGAGGATCTCCAAAACGGAGCCAAAAGCGCTCTAAATGCGGCCGCAACTAAAGTCATCGATGTGGCTAGCCAGGCGGAAAGTAGAATAACCTCTGCAGTTAGCCAGGCAGAAAGCGCGATAAGCTCTGCAACAGCCACTTTAAAAAGCATTGAAGAGATCGTCCCTCAAAACTGCTCGCTAGGCACGAAGCGCTTCTGTATCGGCTACAAGCAAAACATAAACTGCTCTAACTTACCGCTCAATTTCTCTAGCCTTTTACTGGAGGGCGTACAAAAGTTGCCAGGTCCTGTGCAAGACGCTATGCGTGATCGGGCGGAAGACTTGTCGCAGCTAGTAAAGAGTTCGACTAGGTTTCCTGCGCTCTCCGTGCTAGACACCTTAATATCCGGCTTAGTGTTGATGAGTATAGTCATGGCTCTTTCTCTGAGCTTAGCGCTTAGGCGGCCGCAGGTTGTCACTAGAGTCTTTGACAGACTCAAAGCTATGCCTAGAGCTCTAACTCTTCTAGCCCTTGGGTTTATATGCTATTCTCCGTTAGTATTGCTTGGGTTTATTCTAAACACAATTCTCAAGACGGCAAGTGGGCTGCTAATGTGGATAGGAGTGGAAAAAGGTGGAGTTTGTGGTCTTGGCTTCGCCGCACTCGCCTGTGCTCTAGTCTTAGTGCTCGCCCTCCCTGCAGCACCGAACATCGCTAGGCCTGTAAAAGGAGAGGGCATCAAGAGTAAGGAGTGATGGAGAGCAGAGGCGGCAAGATCTCAGACGGTAGAGAGCAATGTTTGCTAAGGAGATATCAGCCTGGTCCTCGTACGTCTCATTGCTTAAGCCGCTCGTGACAGGCCAAAACAGTCAAAATGTGGTTACAAGGATATAGATTTTAGATTCGAAATCTGGTTGCAATCGTAAATCAATCTCATCAGAAAAGTGGTGTCGCATTACATTGTAAGCACAAAGTTATTAAGTAGGTGTAGGGCACTGGATACGATGTACCATTTGGTAGTGAACGCCAAACAGTTGCACTAGTGCCCCGGTCTACTAAAACTCCGCTACTGAATAGGTTCCTCTTTTGCTAGCGCTGCGACAAATTGCTGGGAGTACGCTGAGTCGATAAACTTATCAAATTTAGTGACCTTTGTCCCGTCTTCCGTGAAAGTCAAAATCAATGCATATTCGTTCGCATATAGCCCGATCTTTGTTTGTGCCGTACTGGACGCATATATGATACATTTATGTGCCCTAGCATCATGTGTCTCCTCCATTACCGTAACCTACAGTTGCGTTATTTTACTTGCACTTTCGTTGAACAAGATACACTGACCGTAAAGTTCGAATACTGAGGCATGATCTTGTTTAAGTAGGTGCGGTATTCGTCATTGCTCTTCGCAGCCCGGTTTATAGAGGCGGGTAGTACTCGATGCTCGCAATCAGGGGACTGATACGCAAGAATGGCTTCGATATCCCAAGCATTGTAAGCATCTATGACCGCCCGAGCTGTGTTTTTCTGAGCTATCAGACTGCACATGTTAGCATTGGGGTACTATTGTGGCGATTACAGAACTTATGCTATTAGTAATGCGTACGTACTTTTTAGAGGGGGTAGTAGTAGCGTTGATGAGATAGTTATCTAAATCCAAATTGATTGAGATATTATGTGGTTTCATATTAGGGCTTCCTCGTGGTTGGGAGGCCATAAGGACAAATAGTGTGCTGGTGACAAAGTTGGTAAGCTTCATGGTAGGTAGTATATATGGTACAACGAGCGATATAGAAGTATATCTAGGCTATCTAGAAGTTCTATCGCTATATATGCCACATTAGATGCGCCGGTTATAGGATTGCCATGTTGGATTGCATCGTCATACCTTCCAGATGCTACCTCAAGCATTAAGCTTACACTTCTAAGCACGATTAGTAATGTTTCGTCTCTGCTTGAAGTAGCTAGTGTTTACTAATTACTAGTGTTATGTAAATTGGGTATCTCTATAAAATCTCACTATCTATTGTTCAACGCTTCGCAATCACGCGTGGTGTTCATGCGTAGCTTAATGTCGCTAGACAGTTATACTAAGTGGTTTAGACCTGTTAGAGAACTCGGCAACATCGAAAGAGCTGTACCCATGTGGCGCGATAGCTCACCAGAAGATACGCAAGATGTTTTGCCGTAAGTGCAATTTTAAATATGCGCTAGTGTTGGCGATATACTCTATAAGAAATTTATTCAAATTGATATTTGCTATCTTGGCCCAATATGTATTTAGCGAGCAAAGTCGAGATCCTTTACATTAAAATCAAGCCCTTCTTTTTCGATACAAATCTACCCTTGCGAGTACTTCATATCTCTACGAATATGCACGCAAAAAAGATAGTAAAATTTGATTGGTAACGGCAAACAAGGCCATCGAAGAAATTATTACAGAGTCAGAGCGCCTTAAATCAGACCTACGACGACAGTGAACCCCTTATGTTTAGTTTTGATGAAGATTTGGAACGCGAAGAGAAGATAAGAAAATATACTACCCTAGTTAACTACCTTCGCGTACGCACTACCTAGTGCCTGAGGTAACTGGGAAAGCTGGAACGAGCCCTACATCTTATTAGGTAGTGGAGGGAGGCCTAAATCGCCTGCACTTCACTGTGAATGCAAATTAAATAATCATTATCAAACTAGCGGCTATGAGTTGAGATAAACAATAGCTTTTGGGGTAAGAACTGATCTAGTAAGGAGTAGAAGTCAATTCAGCAGTACTTCTACACCTATATTATATATTGTGTTTGTGCATATGCATATTCTCTCTAGTCACCAAGCGTTTCTTGTGTTATAATAAGAGTTCACTAACAGACTTATCACTAGCTAGATTGCTAATTCTAGGTATATGGGTTTGATATAAGATTGCTAGTAGAGGATACTAGGTATATTGTGAGGCTGACTTTACTTAAAGAGGCATTTGAAATTACTAAAAGTTATAGCTATATCGAAGAAAGATATAAAAGAAAGTATCCTAGAGTAGGAACAATCTCGAGATAATGTTATTAAGCCTTAGTATCTATTCAAATAATATATGTTTGACTGCATTGTATAGTTACTATATGTGGTCGTAGTGACCTAACAGCTAATGGACATATTACATGCAGGTTAAGCATTAAGATATATAGGAGGATCTTATTATCATACATATTATTTGTGGTATCTTTTTCCCTTTGTGATTCCTGCCGCTGATAGCCTGACATGTGAATATGTTTGAAGCTAGGTAATGCGGCTATATATAATGCTTGAAAATTCTTCCTCTACTATAGATCTAGATAGTAAAGAGAATAAACAAAATCTATAACTATAATCTCTAGCTGTCTAGAGCCGTGATAGACTCTATATGTTTGCTGCAGATGCTAGCTATTAACATTATCTCCTAGATATCTAGTAGCCCCTGTTGCTACTTATACTAGAAGGACTTGCGTCTCTTAGCCCTCTTACGTTGTCTACTGTTCTTTAACCTTTTGCTCCCCGCTCTCTTAGATTGAAGCTCCGCCTGGAGATGAAAAACTTGTAACTTTGATTGATAGAGTTCCTCTATAGTGTCCCACTTCTCTAACTGAAGCTTATTGATATAGTCCTCGTAAGACTTATTTTATTAAGATATCTCTTTCACCTGTCGCTTAAGCGCTATGATATAAGACCAAAGCTTGCGTAAATGAATTTAGAAGGCCCCAGATATAGTAGTCAAATTTAATGCGTAGACACTAAGTAGCTAGAACTGGTCGTGGCTGCTCTGTTTGTCGCTTGGGGTATTAGTTATATCTTAGCTGTGCTGACGCTCTAGCTAAACTCACCGTAGGTTCATCCCGCCTTGCAAGAGTTCTAGATGTCATTGTTGATATTTCTATAGGTAGCTTCGTGCTAAAAGCGAAGAACTACGAGGTAAAGATAATATTAGAGTTGACATAGCTGATTCGCGGCATTACTTAACGAAAGCTGCGTGATAGAGCCCTATGGCTCCTAGATCTAGCGCCAACCACTTGGGGTGATGCTTAGGATAGCTCGGCATCATCCCAAGCTACTTGGGTTAAGTAATAAAGCTTATACAAACTACTAGGGATTGTGGAGCTAGAGCGATCAAAATTACATCATTTGCTTACGAAGGAGTTGTCGCACGCCTAAAGCCCAGATCCCTATATTGCTTGGCGAAACCGACTTTACCTTTCCAGGCAGCAGCACCAACTAAGAGAATAATATTGACTATGTTCGTAAATTAGTGTTGCTTTCACACACACCAACTTCGAGTTTTCTAGAATAGGTGTAATTTTAGCTCAATATATACAAATCCATCC